AATGGTCGAATCATGGGTTTGGATTTGCCCGATGGTGGTCACCTAAGTCATGGGTAAGTGCTTCGTATTGATTATTTTATATAATAAGATAAAAATGGCTGGATTATAATATTTTTAGCTCTCACCTGTGTTTGTGGTGTCCGACCTGTGGGCAGTCCGTTCATTCGTTTCGATGATAAATTGGTACTTGCATATGTCTTTGGGTATTAAACTCTTCATCAGCTTGCCTATAAAGTGGTTGCCATCGACGTTCTTGTCAACATGTGACTGCTGATGTGTTCTACCACTCGAACTTTTTCCTAATTATCTCTACCTTTCATAGAGAACGGATACGGAGGAGTTTTGATTTTGAACTATGCGAAATGAAGGGGTTTTGCCCGTTTTTCCTGTAGGAAATACGAAAAAGTGCTTTTTTTGTGAAAATTTCAGATTCTTTACACCCCAGAAAAAAATTTCGGCAACGTCGATATTCTTCCAATCGATGCCTTACAAAGTCAATCCAGAAACTGGTTACATCGATTATGATATGTTGGAAAAGAATGCAATGCTCTTTCGGCCAAATCTCATTATCGCAGGTTCGATTTTTCCTTTCAGTATCTTTTTGTTTTTGTTATAAAAAACGATGTCACACAAAAATGGCTCGAGAAGTACCGCTTTGTCCGAAGATCTCTCTCCCAAGATCTAATGGCCGAAACATTCCTATTCATTTGATTATTTTTTTAACACGTATATATATATATATATATGCGACTTGATGGACCGAAACATTCCTATTCAGGTTTTTTATTCTGATTTATCTTATTCACCTTCCTTTTATTCCCTTACTTTTAAACCCTTACTTTTTACACAAACACACATTATCTAAAATTAAAATTACAATATATTTTTTTTCAAGTATTTTATTTTGTGCATATCATCACTAATATCTTTTTTTGCTTAAAAACAAATTTGGAAGCATGTTTCTAGCGTTTTGGACAGACCATTGTCAATTTGCCATCGAACAAAAGTATTGAGAATTCAAGTCAGTCGTTTGAGACTGGAGAAGGCATCACTTTTCTGCTAAAAAAGTTGAAAAAAACGGCGATTTAACAAAATTCAAAGAGAAAAATCAGAAAAATTAAGGTCTGAAAAATGAAAAGCGTAAAAATTCAGAAATTAAAACTACAAAAGTAGTGAAACTTTAACATCATATTTTTATAAAATCTGCAAAAATGAAAAATTCTAAACTATAATTTTTGAATATCCTTTTTTAAATTTCGGATTTTTACCAGCAGGTCGACCACCAAACGATTCAACATTGGTTAAAGGAGTCAGAAAAAGGGAAGAACGAGGTTCTGAGCTAGAACTGATCCAGTTGTAATGGGTGCACAAGTATTCTTGGAAGTATTTAAATTTTTAGCAAAAAATTGATAAATTCGTTTCAAATTTTGTAACTTCAGGGACAAGTTGTTATTCTCGTCTGCTGGATTATGAACGTTTCCGGAATATAGCGGATCAGTGTGGTGCA